CTTGAAGGCAAGAATTCCACTGAATTATAGCATCCTCTGAGAGAGGGCCTTTGTTCCTGTTTCAGTGGCTTCCTCTATAAACCTGTGAACTCAGAGAGACTCACCTCCATTCTGGAGCCTGGCTAGACTGACCCTAGCTTTTCTTCTCATGTCCAATCCCTCAAGCTCCTGAAACCACAGGCGTTTTTCTCTCTGTAAAGAGAGAGCCTCTAGGAGTCAAGCCTCAGACTCCGGAGTCAGAAGAACATGTTTGAGTCCCAACTCTGTTACACTCCATCTGTGTGACCTTGGGTAACTTACTTAACTTCTCTGTGCCAATTCCAAGAGAAGGAGATGTGGAAGGTTAAATAATAGCATCTAACTCACTGAGTGGGTGTGAGGATTCAGTGAAGTAAAACTGCAGATGCAAAGTGCAGTCCCTAGCACACCATAGATGGTCATCCTTGCTGGCATGGTTCACTGTTGTGGGCACCTGTGGCTCATTCATTCTTCCCCAGGGACCAGCCCAGAGGAACAGAGAGCTCTCCATTGCCGTGGGTTCCCTGGGTTCATGTAGCACTGAGCCCCCCTTTCCCATATCCTATGTTGGTGGGGTCAATTGCACCCACTGCTCTGTACCATTTCTGATGCTGACAGACAGCAAAAGTGGCAGAGTTGAGCTTTCCAAAGAATTAAAAAGAGATGCCACAGGCTCATCGGCTGATAAGAACCAGGGGGAAATGCAAGTGGGCGAAGCAAGCCTGGCAGGAAAAACAATAATCCAATGCAATGACAAATGGCAGCTTACTCTGGGCATTAGTCAGGTAGATGATGAACAGCAGTGGGGTCTGGGGCAGACAGGCGGCCGCTCAGTGCAAGGCGATGGTTGCCGCACTGTCATGAGGGCTGGCTAGAGCAACGAAGCGGCCCAGTGTCGCCAGAGCTTTGCTAAAGAGTAGCTAGAAAGCTACATTTGATGTTTTGGGGGTTTTGTTTGTTTGTTTGTTTTTTAAAGGAAATGCAGTCAATGTCCTAATCCTAGAATCTGTGACTATGTTTGGTTACATGGCAAAGGGGAATTAAGGTTGCTCATAAGCCGGCCTTAAAATAGAGAGAATATCCTGGAATATGTGAGTGGGCCCAATATAATCAGAAGGGTCCTTCGCAGTGGGAGTGGCAGAACAGTTGACGGGAGACGCGCAGATGGAGGAAAGGCTCAGAGAGATGCATCGGTGCCGTTGCCGGTTTGAGGAAGATGGCCACAAGCCAGGAACGTGAGCAGCCCCTCACGCCCTCCTGGGCCCTTCAGGAAGGAGCACAGCCCTCAATTCTAGCGTAGTGAGGCCTGTGTTGGATTTTGACCTCCAGAAGTGTAAGATAATGAATCTGTGCTGTTTCGAGTCACCAGTCTGTGGTCATTTGTTACAGCAGCAATAGAAAACTAACATAAACTAACTTTTAAAACAGCCATGTGGACCAAACAAACTATATCTGTTGGCTGTAGAGTATCCGTGAGCCATTTCTGATTTAAAATCACTGAATTACACAATTTTTTATGTCGGAAGGACCCCCTCCCCCCACCGCCCCGTGACCCAATCAGTGGCTAGGAGGCGCCCCCAATCACACAGCTGTGACTCACACTAGGGACTTTGATTCTTAGAACAGGACTTTTGTCACTACCCAGACACCAGCGGAAGTCAAGTGCAGGTGAACTAATGTTGGGTAAGTCCCTGCCAGTGTGACGTTCCCCTCAGAAGCACTCATGCCTGACATAAACACAACTATACGTGGCTGGGAGGAGAGAAAGAAATAGCAATTTCAGTGGTGGGCCATTTTGCCTACTGTTTTATTCCAGAAAAAAAAAATGAATGTCCCAGGGTGAACTCAAGGCTGACTGTAGGTGCTCTCTTCAGAACTCAAGCCCTGCCCAAGAAAAGACTTCCTTCTAGACACAAGGCATTGTGCTGGGTCCTTTACCTGCCACTGCTGTCACTCAGCTGTCACTTCCCAGACTGTGTTCCTGTTTCTCAAGCTGGTCCCAATGTGTGGTTTTTTTTTTTTATGCATGTAATTTCTGAGCCGCCGTTTCATTCCCCGGTAAGAACTGCCCTGAGTGAGAGCACCAATAAGCACGTCTCCCTTCAGCACCAGCGATGGCTCTGGCCTTCCGAGCCCTGACTCTGCGTTGCTTCACAGAGGACGCCTGTCAAGGTTGGGTAATATCGAGAGTCAAACCTCTGGGAAATGGAACAGAGGGCTTATAATTATGGAGTGATCAAGTCCCCCAAGGTGTCAGCTCATGGGCGTCTTTTAGCTGTGGTGTTCTGTTTGGACCACAGCGCTCCTCCTCACGGCCCACAGCCCCCTAAAATGAGTTGAGAAGCCTTTACCTGGGCCATGTTCTCGGCAACCACAGTGCCCACTCCTCCCCGTTATCTTATACCACCCCCTTCCCCTTCACTCATTTATATTCCCCGCCAGGCCCCAAAAGAGTTCGAGCTGTGACCGCTGGTCCTTATCTAAGACTCTCATTCAATTTAATTCACGTATTCATTCATTTGACAACTATCTATTGAGCACCTACTATGTGCCAAGAATGTTTTAGGTAATGGGGATTCAGCCGTGAACAACAGACACAGTCCTTAGTCTTATGGAGCCTCGTAACGATAACAGCAATGGTGACGATGGTGGTGGTGATGATGATAACTAACAAGCATTGAGCATTCACTGTGTGCCAGGCTATGTGCAAAGCCCTTCACACACACACACATACACACACACACACACCTTACATCCTCATAGCAGCCCTATAAGGTATTACCCTCACTATAAAATAAGGAATCTGAGGCTCAGAGAAGTTCCCTCTTTATGTGGGAGACACACATTAACAAAGGAGCAAAAAGGCTCCGGGGTTCCACTGTCCAATATGGTAGCCACTAGCTACCTGCGGCTACTTAAAGTGAAATATAATTGAAATTTGAGTTGCTTGGTTACGCACATTTCAAGAACTCAACTGTCACATGTGGCCAGCAGATAGCATTTGGGACACAGAACATTTCTATCATTTCAGAGATTTTGCGGGGGCAGTGCTGGTCCAGAGTGTCATGGTTAATTATGGGATCTCCAGGGTTTGAAACTCCTCTGACACTCACCTGCTGGGAGACCTCGAGCAAACGTCTTAAGCTCTCTGAATATTAGGTTATTGATCTATAAAATGTCATTAGTAATAACGCCATCCTCAAGGAGTTTGGGGAAAGATAAATTACTTCTTGGATGTTGAGAACAGTGTCCAACACAAAGTAAACTGATCAATTACAGCTATTATTGTAAATATTAAAATAATGAGAGGTGGTGACATATTATGAAAGACAAATAGAGTAGAGTGAGGGGACAGAAGATGTGGGGTGCTTGCTTGGACAGGTTGATTCAGGAGATCCTCTGAAGGAGGTGGCTTCTGCATGAAGTCAGGAAGCCAGAGCTGGGGAACCAGGAAGGATACCCAGGCAGAGGCCACGGGCAGGCAAAGCCCCTGAGGCTGCAGCCAGCGTGGTGTGTTCCGGAAACAGCATCCCCACCAGAGTCGCTGAGGAGTGAGCATGGGCTCAGGAGGTACTGACGGACCATGGGGAGGACTTCAGCCCCTGTTCTGAGTGTGGCAGGATCACCGGGCAGGTTCTGAGCAGGGGAGCGATGGGGTCTGACCTACATTTTATAGAGTCACCTTAGCCATGGATGGAGAGAGGACTGTAGGGGCAGGGGTAGAGGCAGGAGGCCCCTTAGGAGGCTGCAGGCAGCAGGCCAGCTGGCGGCATTGAAAGGAGTGGGGATGAGAAGGTTTCACATTCAAAGCAGCCCTCACACAGGCTGTCCCCTCTGTGTGGAGCCCTGTTGGCCCACCTGTCCAGACTCTGCCTCAGCCCTTTAGGTCTTGACTCAGAAGTTACCCTTTCAGAAAAGGCTCCCTGTTCCCCTGCCCCACTTTTTTGGGGGTTTTTTTTTGCCTTAGCACTTACCCTGAACTAACATACGACGTATTTTCCTGGTTTTGTTTACCGTGGGCAGTAAGTGTGAGGGTGGAGGTTTTTGTTAGATTTGCTCACTGCTAAATCCCCAGCGTAGACAGCAGTGCCCGGCACAAATGAGGGGCTTGAAAAAATTTTTTTTCTTTTAATTGTATTGGGGAAACAGCTGTGGTCATTGGTTACACATCGCTTTCATGCTACAATGGCATAGTTGACTCTTTTAGGGAGGGCGCAGCTCACAGTGGCCCATGTGAGGATCGAACCGGCGACCTTTGTGTTATCAGCACCACGCTCTAACCAACTGAGCTAACCGGTCACCCCTGTGAAATTTTTGAATCAATGAACGAATGATATAGAGAAGGAAGGAGAACAGGTGATACTTGATAAAGCTGAAGCACAGAGAGGGGAAGTCACTGGCCTAAAGCCACACAGCAGTTACCAGCAGAGCTTGTCCTGGAGCCTAGGCCTCCCAATGCCCTGAACGCCCCCCGCTCCCCACCACCTCATGGACGTTTTCCTCCTATTCTTGAAGCTCTTGAGAAGCATGTCTGCCTCTGTGTTCGGTTGCAGCTTTTCCCTTCACCCAGCTGTCTTTCCTCTCTTGCCCGTTTTCTCTAGAATGTGTTCTGTTTGGCTAAACTTTCCCTTTTTCTGTAGGCAGGGCCCAACGGCAACATCCGGGTAGTCAACTGCATCATGCGAAAGAAACAGAACAGGAAGCCACGATGCCAGCCTGGTTTCTCTAAGGGCCAGTCTGCACAGTGAGAGGCAAAGGCACAGCCCATGGCTGGGGCGTGGTGGGAGGTGGGGGGTGGCACTCTCCCAAACAGTCATGCTACTGAGCAGCGATGGGGTCATGCATTTGCTCTGGTTCCTGCTCAGAAACTGTCCCAAGGAACCTCCCACGATCTGCCCTGCGGCGCAGAGAGACCCGGCAGCTCAGCCTTTCCTGTCCTCTGTGGGGTGGCATGAGGTCCTCAGAGCTGCTCTTTTCTGCCTCCTCTTCCTGATTCGTGCAGGGGGCACGCTTCTCCCGCTCTCCTGCTGGCCCTTCTGGACGCTAATTCCATCCCAACTCTGGTATAACAGCAAACTCTCCTCTGTATTCTTTATCATAATAATAAACATTTAAAGCTGCCCTTTAGAACATTTACTCTATATCAGGCACTTTGCCAATCCACAATCCTTGCATAGCGTATTTTACAAATCGGGACACTGGGCTCAAAGGTTACCCCATGTTATTGGTAAGTGGAAGGGTTGGGCTCAATCCTAGGGTCTCTCTGTGTCTGATTCTGGAGCTTGTTTTCTTTCCCCTAGATGCAATCACCATTCATTCATTCATCATTCATTCATTTTTCTCATTCATTCAGGAATTCTTTATCAAGCCATGCCACCTGCCAGGCACTGCTCCAAGCACTTGGTGAACCAGATGAACAAGACAGACCAGGTCCTGCCCTCAGAGAACAGCACGAGAGAAAACAATGAATGAGAAGTGAACGCACCAGGAAGGCCTCTTCAGTAGGGATAACTGCTGTGGACACATCAAAACAAGCCATTGTGAGTGAGCACGGGGGAGAGGGTCTTCTCGATTGGATGATTGAGGAAGGTTACTTTGTGCTGATGGAAGCCAAATACAGCTGGAAGGAAACACTTCCCTGGTAGGCAGGGCCCAGGTTGGAAGGGGCCGTGGACTGAGACAGGCCGTCAGGAGGATGGGGAGGGACATGGCTGCACTTGGGGAAAATCACAGGGTCTACCCAGCCATGTAGGGGCATCTTTGGTCCTCATCACCAGCCCTCTTTTATTAAGTAATATTTACCATCTCCCCTTTTAGGTTTAATGTCAAACAGCTCTTCTTCTATCCTTGTCCCTCTTTGCTCTCTGTGCCTGGTTGGGCCCCCTAACAAGTTTTTCTCTTACTGACACAGAAGGCCAAGGAACCCTAAAGCAACAATCATCGAGGAGATAGCTGCAGCCTGAACAGCTACCTCGAGCTCCCCCTGGGGGCCTTTCTCCGAGCTGCACCCTCTCACATGCTGCTGCAACCTGGGCTGCTGGTTCCCCTGCCCTGTCCATGCTCCCCACCTCTGTCCACAGCTGCACACACCTCAGTTCTTTCTCTCTGCCCAACCCCCTGTAGATCGGAGACTTGGTCAGACCTAATGCCTGGCTTGGCTTTGGTTGCCTCGCCCCATCCCTGGGCTTAAGGGCCTCTCCTGGCTCTTGCTGGTCATCTGACAAGGGCTGTAGGGCCCTATGACCAGACTCAGAGCCCCCAGACAGTACTTCCCTGGAAAGTGACTGCAGAACCACTTCAGATGGCCCTCGATGCAGGCTGAGAACATCATCCTGCCCCTTCGCTGAGGAAGTGTACAGGACCCCCTCGTAATTCTCTTTCCTATCAGCTGAGTATCATCTCCCTTGGAAAACTTCCCTGAACCTCCAAATATGGGCTAGGGGTCTTTCCTAACTGCATCCTGGGGGTGCTGCACCTACCCTTCATGTAGCACCAACCCAGAGTGGCCATTTGACTGCTCATTTCTCCCACTTCAAGGGGTCCCCTTGAGAGAGGTCAGCACAGTGTCTCTAGGAGTGCCTGGCACGGGTGAATAAGTGAGCCTGATGTGGCCAGCTGGCGTAAGTGCGAGGCTGCTGCAACCCTGCTGTCGGGACCCTGGGAAACCAGAGCAGGTGTTTACTTCTATTTCTGACTGTCCAGGGTGTGGGAGTCCTTCCAGATTTGGTGGCTCCTCAGCTTCCTCTTTGGTTCCAACTAAAAGGCATGACTGGAGGATCCGTAGGCTCAGCCAGGGCTGGAGGAGTCGAAGTATGAGTGTTAAGAGCATGAGTGTTAAGATTGCGATCAGGGAAACCAGACTTCCTTTGACATAAACAAAACAGCACATGGGGATTTTTGCATCTCTAGATTCCTCCGTTTAGAATGTAGTGAATTCCCGGCACTGTCTTGGGTGCTGAGCCAGTCAGAAGGTAGAGGTCTGGGGGACAGCCAGACCATACACTTACGGCACCCAAACCCTTTCAAGTTGTCTATTACTCAGATTTGATTTTATTTGTACAAAGTTGTGATTTTTTTTCTATCTACAAAGGTAAAACACAGACATTATGGAAACGTTAATAAAATACAAGCAAGAAACAAGCATAATAAAATTTAAACACTTAAAGTTTGATTTCTTCCTTTAAAAAATCTTTTTCACTGTCAAAATAGGATCACACTCTTCATGCAATTCTTTAAAACTTTTTTTTTATATATATATGCAACATATTGTGAACAGCTTTCCACGTGGTTGAATGGCATCCCAAAGCTGCTTTTTAAGTGGCTTCGAGTGTCCTGTGATATGAAAGTACAAGAATTTATTTCAATAATTCCCTATGTTTGGATACTTAGTTGGTTCCAAATTTCACTGTTTTATAAGCAATTCAGAAGTGAGCATTCTTTTAGCTAAACTACTGTATGTGGTCATGATTATTTCTTTAGGATAAATTATTAGATATAGACTTGCTAGGTCAAGGATATGAACTTTTATCATTTTGCTGCCTCTCACCTCACTGCCCTCTACCCAAGAAAGCCTGAATTTTGGCTCCTGCCAGCAGGGCACAGCGGCATATACTATCATTCTGTGACATTTCCTCCTGCCAAGGCTGCCTGTGATGGTCGCTTAACCTGTTCTCACTGGGATGGTGGATGGCACGGCACGCCATGCAGTTGGCTCCAATACCCACCTGGGAGAAACCCCAGAGAAACTTGGATAAATCTGGCTTATACCAGGGATGGCCAGTGAGAATGTAAATATTCACACCTGGAACAATAAATGATTAAAGAAACGCTGTGATGGTCCTAGCAAACACGGCATTGGCGGTTACTAACTTGGGTTTGAATCCTGACCTTGACTTGGGCAAGGCCTCACTGAACCTCAGTTTTCTCTGCTGGGAAATGGAATTATAACATTACATCCTGTTGAGGTTTGTTGGGAATTAAATGTAATCAAGTGTGTAAAACCCATAGCATGGGTACCCAGTAGCTAGAAGTGTTATTAAACAGGCACAACAATTTGAGCCAATATAACAAGTTGTTTGTTTAGCTGAGGCCCGCAGGAGACCTGTTCAACTGCTAAGAGTGATTTCTAACTAGCACAACATCTATTCTCATGGGACGACACACCCATAGGAGTTAATTTTCTTAAACACTTACTATCTCCTACGTTTCATAATTCAGTGTTCCCAACATTCCCTGTGAAATTTTATTTACAGGTCCTATTCTCATGAATCCTGTCTTAGCAAGCCTTCTCCATGGCGAGAGAAAGGCAAGCAGGCTTGGCCACCTGGCTGGGGAGCTCGGGAAAACGCAGATGCTTGGGTCTCACTGAGTCCCCCGGGCTCAGATCTCCAGGTAGGTGGGTCCCAGGGGTCTGTCCCATTAGCAAACTTTTAGGTAATTTTTCTGGTTAGCTGGAACCCAGGCTGCAAACTGGCACTGGGAATACTAGGAAGTACCCATACAACTGGATATTTAGGGACTTCTGGAAAAAAGATGCCAATTTTTTTTTTCTGTTAAAAACACTGAGTAAGGGAACATTTTCTACTCTATCCAGAGGGAATGTGGTCTTGGGTCTTTTCACAAGGTTAACACTTTGTTTTAACCCTGCTGCTGTCATGTTATATTTTTCTTTCCCTCCTGAACCAAGCTCTCAGTAGGCCATGAAGAGTGTCGTCTGGTTCATGGTGTCGGCTGGGCAGTGTGGCCCAGAGTTCCACTTCCTCCGAGGGCACAGTGATTCTGCAGAGTGCACTGTTTTCCATTGCAAAGTCCTTAACAACAGACGTGCTGTCTCCATCGGCAGGCTGCGACCCTGGCTCCGTCTGCAGAAGCCATGTATTAGAAAACACCTGCTCATAGCTGGCAGCTTGGTCTGGAAAAGGGGGAGCATTGAAAGTGTCATTCGGGACCAGCTCTTCCAAGTCTTCCCAGGAAGGTAACTGCTATTTCATTCTATTTTATTTTAAGTCAGAGTTCCTAGTTTTCTTTCTCCTTAATGGTTTCCACATATCTGCCCATGCCATGGCATTAATTATTTGGGTACCAAGCGCACTCTATCAGGCACCTGGCACAAATTCTTTCAAATTCTCAAAACAGGCTGGAAAGGTCAGTGTAGAGGCTGACTGCCACTTGGGGCTGTCCTGCATCACCACCTCCTTCCCATTACTACCTTGTGCGTCCTTTGGTAAGTGTTCCCCTCAGTGTAGACCCAAAGTGGTTAAATTTTCCCTATCCCTTTCCTCTATTGATTTGGCCCATCAGACACACTGTCCCAGCTTCGAACACGTGATACAAAGAAAGCTGTGGGTTCACCTGGAACGTCGGCACCATATGCATGCATCACCTGCCTCCCGAGGCAGGACCTTGCTGTGTGGGTGCTGCAGCCTGGCCCGTTGAGACCCCATGGCGGCTGCCCACTGCCCAAGCCTGTCCATTTTCCAAGCCTGTTTGCATCTCCATCATTTCTTTGAGCTCCCAGCCCCCAGAACTATTCAGTGCATGTCATTTGCTATTTAATGTAGAGTTAGTTTTTGCTGCTTATAACCAATAACCTAGTCTGACCTCCAGGGATTATTAACCCCAGTTTACAGGTCCAGAGGTTGAGCTCTGGGTCAGAGATCTTGGGCAAATAGCTCCCCTCCTAGAGACTCATGAATCCAGAAATACCCATCCAGGCTGGGCAGGCAGAGTCTGGAGCTCTGGGCTCCAAACAGAGTATGACTCTGGTTTGCTTTCCTCACTGAGGCCTGCACACCCATTTATTTCCTGAGTTATGCATGTAACATGGCCAAGTCCCAGCTTGGTACCATGTAGTTTCGCTGGATGTGGCACACAAAGCAATTTGAATAGAACACAGATGAATATACACTTTTAAAAATGTAAGTGTTGTGCATACACAGACACACACACACACATACATTGCTCTGTGTTAAAAAAAATACAATTAGCTCATCTAACTTGTGAAATCATGTGACATTGCTCAGAAAGAGGAACAGCTTTCTTGAAGCTAAAAAAGGTTAATTGAATTGAACAAAAATTGTAAATAGATAGAAGTAACTGTGGTTTAACTTAGAAAAGACACAAGCCATGAGAGTGAGCCATGACGGTCTGAAATTTGGACTCCAGCAACGTGGAAGAGCCTCTGGGGAGAGTCCGAGGCCAGTCTCTGGTCCCAGGTGTGTCAACCCTGGGGACCAGTCTTCTTGCTACTACCTCTTCAGCTGAGATGGCTGATCTTTAAGCCTCTGCTTGCTATTGGCCATCTGCCCTTTATCTGCAAGTGTCAGCATAGCCAAGCCTGGGTGAGAGAGAGAGGCTGTCCTGGTCCAGTGACTAATGAGCCCGTGACAGAGGCAAGCTGAGGTTTTTCGGGTTATATAAAAGGAAGTTCTGGGGAGCCCATAAGATAGAAAACCAAGAGCTCTAGCTGGTGGTAACCCGAGGGCGTGGCCCAAGGTGTGTTTCCAGGCGAAGCACCTCCTCAACTCCCCACTCTGAGCGTAGTGACTTCCTTCCCAAGAGCACACATGGGAAGAGAGGCAAAAGGGGAACTTTCCAGTGGAGAAGCCTGACAAACGCTACCTCAGCCAGGTGACAAAGCCCAACGTCAAGAGGCAATGCTGATGGTGTACCCTCGATGTGATGTGATACGAATGGCATTTTACCTCTGTGCTCTTTCTTCCAAAAACCTATAGCCCCAGTCTAATCACGAGAAAATTCCTCATGTTCACAATAGACAAGCTATGGAAACAACCCTAAGTGCCTAGCTATAGATAAATGGATAAAGAAGAGGCAGTGTATATAGCCAATGGAATCTCATTCAGCTACAAAAAAGAAGGGAGTCCTGCCATTTGCGACAACATGGATGGACCTTGATGGCATTATGCTAAGAGGAATAATTCAAACAGAGAAAGACAAATACCATATGATCTCACTTATATGTAGAATCTAAAGAACAAAAACCTACTTACAGAAACAGAGACGAGAATGGTGGTTGCCAGAGGTGGGTGGGGGGTGGGGGATGGTGAAACGGTGAAGGTGGTCAAAAGGTACAAACTTCCATTTATAAGATGAAGAAATTCTGGGGATCAAATGTACAGCATGGCGAGTGAATAATACTGTACTACATACTTGAAAGTTGCTAAGAGAGTAGCTCGTACGTGTTGTCACCACACACACCACAAATGGTAACTATTGGAGCGGAGGGAGGTGATAGCTAACACGGCTGTGGGTATCACTTCACAAAATGGAAGTGTATCAGGCCATGAGGTTACGCCCCTGAAACTCACAGTGTTGTATGTCAATTTCACGTCAATCAAGCTGGAAAAATTACCTAATTTTTAAAAGAAAAGAAAATCACCAGACAAACCTCAAATGAGGGACACCCTACAACATCCCTGACCAGTTACGCCTCAAGGTTATCACAGGCAAGGAAAGTCTAAGAAATTGTCACAGCCACAAGGAGCCTGAGGAGACAGGACAAATAAATGTGATATCCTCAGTGGGATCCTGGAACATAGAAAGGACATGAGGCAAAAACTAAGGAAATCTGGAAAAAGAAGTGTGGAGGTTAGCTAATAATACTTGGATATTAGTTCATTAATTGTGACAAGTGAACCATAGAACGTATGATGTTGATAACAGGCAAAACAGGGAACTCTGCACTACCTCCACAGTTTCTCTGTAAATCTCAAACTAGTCTAAGGTTAAAAGTTTATTGAAATAAACAAGCTTAGTAAAATGGTAACGGTAGAACCAAGGTGGTAGATATATTTGTGTGCTCTGTAAAATTCCTTGAACTTTGTTGTGTGTGTTTGAAATTATTCATAATTTAAAAAAAATAACTTTGGAAGCGTTTTGTTTAAACTGCAGGGTAGGAAGATCCTGAAATGCTTCAAGCAGCTGGTAAGCAAGCAAAGGACTGTAAATTAAAATTAAATAAAAATTAGAACTGCATAGTACTAATAAAAATGTGCAAATTGCCTTTGAGGTTGTCCTCACTCAGTAAGCCATGTTCATTGCTTTGTTTTACTCGATGTAAAATAATTTATAAGGATATTAATGACTTCACTATCAACTTTGGTTCCTGCAACCCTGGTTTCCCCTTTGAGATTTTAAGTTTCTTAATCACAATTTCTCCTAAATGCCCCACAGTGGAGAGATGCCATATATTTACATATTTCCACAGATGACTTATTATCCTACTTCACAGAAGAAAACCGAGACTCTCCGGCATAGCGCCCCCACTTCCTGTCCTCCTGCCTACAGCCTTATTTACAACCTCCCACCCTCGTCCCTTCCTTCCAGACTCAGGGAGCTATTCAGGGCTGATGCCTCACCCTGTCCTTCACCCCCTTTCCCAATTTTCCAGGACATTCACGTTTTTCCAACAATTACTTCCTTGCTTTTCCAAATCTTCTTCAGCAAGTCTTCTTCACAGACCCCAAAGCCTGGGAATTTCATCGTTAAACAAGGAATCATTGTTTAAATCAACCTCCAAAAGCAAACCAAACCAACCACCACACAGCTGTCTGTTCTCCTTTTCCCCGTGGCCGGAGTTCTCCCAAGGACACGCTGCACTTGCCGTCTGCACACTCATTCGATCCTCAGTGCCCAACTATGCAGCAGCCCTCTGACAAGCTCATCGGTGACTTCCCCAAGGCCCGCCCACACCGGTGGCCTTGACTTTCAGCAGCAGGTGACATTCATGACCAAGTGCCTGCTGGACAGTCTCCCCTCCTCTGGCTATCAGGACCCACTCTCCTCCCCCGCTGTCCACCCATTTAGCTGATCCTTGTAGGCCTCATGGGTAGTTCCTCTTTCTCTGGTCACCCTATTACATATCGGAGCTCTGTCCTTCACCTCCTAATCACGCACTGACATATGCTTCCGGCATGACCCAACTCCTCCCAAGGCCCCCATCACTCCGATGACTCCCAGATCTGCACTTCCCCACATAATACCAAGAGCTGACATGTAACTTCTTTTGAGAGCCTACTATGCACTGGGCACTGTTTAAGCCTATTGTCTCATCTAATCTTTACAACAACCCTAAGAAGGTGGTACTATTATTATCATCCCATTTTACTGAGCACAGAGACGGCAAGCAGCGTGCCCAAGCTCACACAGCTTGAAGCCAGGATTCAAACCCTGGCCCACACCCTCACCACCACACTATGCTCCTTGTGGAACATCTCCACCTGGAGGTTCTTCCTCCACCTCAAACGTAACAGACCCCAAATGGAACTTATCATCTTTTCCCAAAATTGATCCCCTTTATATATCCAGAAGAGAATCCAGGCTTGGTGGGGCCTGAAGCTTCTATAATTAGGCAGGAAGGGACTCTTTAAGAAAAGTGAAAGAGTGAATACAAAGTCAGTTTCAGGGTCTTGAAAGTGGCCAGTAAAAGTGAGGTTTCCTGACACATAAACTGTTTCATGGTGAACCCCCACCCCCATCCATACGTTGTATATTTCAGTGACTGGCATTTAGCTGCTCTAGCTGGAGACCTGGGAGCCTTCCTCTCCTTTCACTCCCTCCTTCCATACCTCATCCACAAAGACTCAAGGACACCATTCTGTCAACTCTCTTCCTCAGATCTCTGGACTCTCTTCTACCTCCTCTTCTCAACCATTTTCACGTGGCTCAGACCCTCAACACCTCTTACCTGAACCACTGCCATAGTCCCCGCCAACACTTCCTGCTTCAGCCTGGACTTTCCCCAACGTATTTCCTGTGCTGCAGCAGGCTGAGTATCAGAAACACACAACCCACCAACACTGCTATGAGCTCCCATTGTCCTCCAGCTAAGATCTAAATTCTTTAGCCTAGCGTAACCTGACTCCCTGGTCAGCCTTGCCCGGCTTACTTGTCTTTTGTTCCTTTCCTCAACAAATAACTCTTTAGGACCTATTCCTGAGTAGTATTACTGCATGC